GTAGTGTTACTTATAACTAGAAAATATAGCTTTGTCCCAAAGTCTCTCCAAAACCAAATATTAAACGAACTAAAATATTTTTAACAAATTATTTCTTATTATTATGTAGATCTTCGTAATGTGAATTATCAATAAGCTAAATATTCAGAGCAGCAGTCAACAGTTTGCAAGTTATAATGATGATCAGCAATCTTTGAAAAAAAACGACACTTTGAGAATAAGAAGACAAGAAGTAACTATTAATTAAATTAATTCTTATTTAGATTTAAAAATAGTGCAGTAAATCTACATTTAATTTAATCTAAATTTCAGATAATAATTGCATTTGCAAAACTAAAACATCGGTATTATTTATATTAATCTAGCTATTTATATTAATGATAACAAAAAATACACCTCCCTATTCCTACTATCAATGGTTGTATTAAACAATGATGTTGATAGATCGCAACTTTTTTGTAAAACGCAGAAAATTGGCGTAAAATTGTTCCATTTTGAAAGAATAATATAAATCTATTGTTTGTTTTGTGCTTTTTACCTGTTAATTAAGAGGTATTGTATACTTATACGCTTTCATATTTCTACACTACTTGTTGCTTAATAATACTTTTAAATCATCAAAAATTAATATGTTTTATAAAACGTATTTTTACTCTTAATGGAATATGACTCTAGTAGTTTATTTTAGGTATGCAGTTTTAAGCTTCATTCAGAACCTCGCAATTAGTGGAATAAATTAGTGGTTTTAATTATACTTTATATTTATAAGTTTACGATCATTCATATACAGGGTGTCCCACTTAAGATGGATACAAGCCAATATCTTGGTTGTTTGTTGAGCGATTTTTTTCATTTTTGGCAGGAGGCTGTATGGCTATAAGACGTACATTTTGCCCAGGGTAAGAAATGTGATACCTCATAGACGTACGTTTTAATGGCGTTTGATAGTTTTCGAGTCAAGAGTAAACTACCCTTAGGACAGTATTTATTTCAGATCTGATAAGTTATATTGAATCCTCCTTACCTAAGATACTTAAGTTCTAATTTTGATAAATATTCATACAGGGCGTTCCATTAAAATAAGACATTTTTATTTTTATTATAATTTTTTTAAGTACTTACAACGGCACTGGATAAACAACTGGTTTATTATCAATAACCAATTATAATAATCAATTATCAATTAATAATCGTTTTTTTGTGGTGGTTTGGTCGAAGATGTTGACTTTTAGTTTGTTATAGTTTTATAAATCTTTGTTTAGAGCAGATTTTTCAAAGTTAATAGTGATTGTTTTAAATATCTAACTATTTGGATTTTTTTAAATATTCCTCAATAAAACGAATAAAAATCATATTTCAGATTCCATTGAAAATTGGGTTTTTAAATTATTTAGTAATTAATTTTATTAATTTGTATTAGCAAACTTAAAAAACAATTTTATAAAGTAAACAAAATAAATTAAAAATATTTAGTTTTTTTGTATCGTATCTTAATTATTATGGAAGCTATCTGAAAACTTAAATCTATTATTAATTGATAATTGGTTATTGATAATAAACCTGTTGAGTATCCAGTGGCGTCGTAAGTACTTAAAAAAATAATAATAAAAAAAATGTCTTATTTTAATGACGCACCCTGTATCAATATTTATCAAAATTAGAACTTAAATATCTTAGGTAAGGAGGATTCAATATAATTTATCAGATTTGAAATAAATACTGTCCTAAGGGTAGTTTACACTTGACCCGAAAAATATCAAACCCCATTAAAACGTACGTCTATGAGGTATCGCATTTCTTACCCTGGGCAAAATGTACGTCTTATAGCCATCCAGCCTCCTGTCAAAAATGAAAAAGATCGCTCAACAAACAATCAAGATATTGGCTTGTATCCATCTTAAGTGGGACACCCTGTATATGAATTTTTGTGTCCGTTGTCTGGAACAAAAAGTCTGTTGACTGGGACAAAAAGTAAAAGCATAGTTTTAATATAAAAATTACGAAAAGATGTTAGTGTCTTCTTCAAAAGCGAATATCTCCAAAAAAAATAAAATAACTGAGATGAACCGAAAAACTAACTATCGAGGAAGGACGTTCCTAGATGATAAAATGATTTTTAAACACCTTGCTATCTTAACATATTCCACAGGGTGTTTCAAACTTTTACCAAAATATCAACATTTTGTTTTCCCGCGTATAACTGACAGATGGAAATATTCATTTTTAATTTTGAAAGAGATACTAAAAAGTCAAATAATTTAGCTACATATTGCTTAAATTTTAACGTGCACGTTTTTCGTGCCGGTGAGTGTATATTAAATCAGTGGCTCCATAAGGACATATTTTAAAATCTAATTTCATATTTTAAAGTTATATTCATAATCATCAAAAAGAATAATTAATCCATAGTATTAATTTTCAATAATAAATTCAGACGTTAAAAATTTTCTATTTCATAAAAATAATGCAAAATAGCTGCTTTTGCAAGTTTCATTAATCTAACGTACATATCACAGCAATTAATCTCGTATGCTTTATGTGTTGAAATAAGCAGTTTAGTTTACGTCTTTTCTTACTTTAATACTAAACAGTTTCGATGGAAAATGCTATTTTAAGCACGAATAAATAAATTATAATAAGTTTGAAAAAATATTCAATATTTGTTGGGCTACCACTTAAAAACCGTTAAGAACAAATTGACCTTTATTCGTTTATAGTTGACCTAAAGCCGTTTTAGCCTTGTTTATACATGGTAAAACACGCACTCTATGTTGAGCCCTTTTTAAGAATTGTACTATATTGTGTAGTGCCCTTAACTTAGAGCTGTAATAAAAAAAAGGAAGAGAGAAAAGTTAGATCAGCAGTTAAAAGACTATACCATAACGTGGTATACTAATGCTTTCAAAACCAAAGCAATCAGAGAAAAGTTAAAGATTTGCCTTGATATAAGTAAGAACAATCGTTGGATTATCACGATGTGCCTAACAGGACACTGTCTCCTCAATTAACACTTCAGTAGATTGAAGCTAAGACACAACGGCGAATGCAGACACTCTGGGGAAAATGGGAAACATCAGAGGTTTACACCTCATCACTGAGTGCGCTGAGACGACAACCATTCGTGCTATAAACATTGGTACGACTGGTATCGGAGATAGAGAACCCCTGCGACAGTATGTTATAGAAAAGTATTTCGCATAAAATCATAAAAGATATGAATTGGTTATGATATATGATATACAGGGTGTCCCAGGCTGAGTGTGCATTAGAAGTTTCTACAGAACTACAACATCTAGCTCGGAGATTTTTTGCACATCATAGTTTCACAACGAGATCTATGGATTACAAATATTTTCAATATGGCGGCACTTCCGGAGATACAGAAAATTGACAGGAACTTTCTTATTTTAAATGGGTGCCCCCATTTTTTATTATGTACTTAAATTCTCTGTAAAATTTTATGAATTTTGATATCAAACACTCTATATCTAACATTAACCGTTTTTGAGAAAAAAAAAATATTTAAAATTTTTGAACCAAAAAAATTGCCTGTCAAAAATATGTGTATAGCCTAAACGTCAAATTTAGTGATTAACACAGCCACTATGCCATAAAGAGAAAACATGTGGCTATCTATTTCAAAAATTAAATTGTTCGAATGTCATATAATAATGGCCGCAGCTGTCATAGAATTGAGCGATTAAAAAATTATCATAAATCATTTTTTTCAAATGGAAACCCACTTTTTTTATTTCGCTAGTGGAATGGCATTACTTTATACATGTTCCTATACCTAAAATAAATTGTTTTTGAGTTATTTAAGATTTAGTTTTAAAGCGTATATTTTTCCTGATTTTAACCAGTAGCCTATGACTTTAAACGTCAATTGATGTAAAACAATAGATCTGGCCATGTCATATTGTGATGCTTTGTTCTAAAAGCAGCATCATTTTCGAGCCAACTTTGCGCTGTTTTTTTTTCGATCATACGGAATATTATTAATAATAAATATCTACTAACTATTATATTAGACATCACTAAAGAGCGAAAATACGAGATATATTCTTATAAATACACTTTTTAAACTCTTAAGCAGGCAGTATTTATACTATAGGAAATTCAAATAATTCTTCAGTATTTATACTATAGGAAATAAATTGTCTCACCGTTTGACACTTAATGTCAAAGGAAGCTAGATAAAATCAAGAAAACTATACGGTTTCAAACTCTAAAATCTTAAATAACTTAAAAACGATTTATTTTAGATATAGGAACATGTATAGTTAAAAAGTAACGAATTGAAGAACCGTTTCATTAGTAAAATAAAAAATGTGGGGTTCCATTTGAAAAAAAATGATTTATGGTAATTTATTAATCACTCAATTCCATGACAGCTACCGCCATTATTATATGACATTCGAAAAAGTTAATTTCTGAAATAGATAGCCACATGTCTTCTCTCTATGTCACAGTGGCTGTGGTAATCACTAAATTTGACTTTTAGGCTACACAATTTTTTTGACAGGTAGTTTATTTCGTCCAAAAATTTTAAATAATTTTTTTCTCAAAAACGGTTAATGTTAGATATAGAGTGTTTAACATCAATATTTATAGAATTTTACAGAGAATTTAAGTATGTACTAAAAAATGGGGGCACCCATTTAAAATAAGAAAGTTTCTGTCAACTTCCGGTATTTCCGGAAGTGCCGCCATATTGAAAATATTTTTAAGCGATAGATCTCGTTGCAAAAAAAATGATGTGCAAAAATTTCCGATCTCGATATTGTGGTTCTCTAGAAACTTCTAATGCACGCTTAGTCGAGGACACCCTGTATATTTATATTTATATTTTGATATGATATTCGCATAACATTAAGATACACATAGTAATGTGTATCTAAGCGAAACATTTATTTCAAGAATATATGTGACTTAAAATTGATTTGTCAAAACAAATACAACAACATATTGCTTAAAAAAACAGTAAAACTTTGACTTACCCCGGTCTTTCGCTAACTCCGTTTGAAATGCCATAATGGGGACCAACGTTTCCACTCTGCACATCTAAATCTGATGGTTTCTCCCGTACCGTTATTTTTATAGGTTTAGCATCGTCTTCAATCAATGCTTTTGCCTCACGATTTCGGTCATTTTTCCCAAACTTGGCCATAGACAAGTCTCCCAAACTCGAATCCATTGATCCGATTAACTTATTCATATTATTCTGAACTTCCATTTCTATCGCTTTCGCATTTCCCAATCCTATCGTCGCTACGTGATTATTAGTGTGATTATTAGAGACACTTAATGGTTGATGATTTGAATCTGAAGTTTTAATATTATTCTCTGTTAATAAGCGATCAGTAATAACTTCCGATGATGAGTTTGAAGCTTTCTTGTTATTGCCGTTTGGAACAGTTGCTATATTTTTAGTTGATGAATCTATTATCTTATTGCCAACTTGTCCAACAACATGTTGCTTTTTTTCACCATTTCCATTATCAGTATGTACACTATTATTATTTTCGGCATTAGCAGGTTTATTTAGGTTACTGGTGAGATCATTAGAAATAGAACTTATTCGGTTATTCAGACCACTATCCTTAATTAGCGTTTTAGTATTTAGAACAGTATCATTCATTTTGTTAATTGCATTGCTAACACTTGTTGCACTCAATACCCTCCCGTCAATCATTGGCGATACTGCTTTGGCTCTTTCAAAAGTTGGAGTATCAATCTTAAGTGGTTTAGTAACGGTAGTGGTCGTACCGGAAACAACTGCTGCTGTAGATGCTGGTATTTCGCTAATAACTACATCTTGTAGATCAGTTTTGCTGCCTCGAACGGAAGACGTTTTTTCATTTTCTTTTTTGTTGTTGTTTCCTTTTTCATTTATATTACTCGACGATGATATTGGTTGAACTTCATCTTTGTCTTTCTTATTATTGTTAATAGAAACGGAATTATTTGGTTTTGTTAATGAGTTATTTAAACTGGCTTTTGTATTACTATTTAAGGCAGGCTTGCCCACACTTCCCGAAATGTTCGCGTTAGATTTGCTGTTCACTTTAAGACCGACCGACTTACTGGAAGTTGTCTTTGATTTACTCGAGTTTGTTTGTTCGTTACTAACACTACTATCACTAACATAATTTTGATTTTTATTACCCATATATGTTTTTGGAAGCAAATTTGGCCGAGAGGAAGTTCTATTTATTGAATTCCTTCGTGGAGGTATTCGTTTTTGCGGCGATTCATTTTCATCACTACTAGATAAAGGTGGTTTTGGCGACAATTTAGGTTTATGAAAAGTATTAATTTTAGACTGTATATGTTCGTATCTATTTAACGGAAGTTTTCTTGGAGACACACCTGAATCCTTATTATAACCTAAGTTCGATCTAGATTGACTCCTGGATGGTGGTTTACTACCGTTCCTGGTAGGAGAGTGTATCCTACTGGGTGGTGTACTTTTACTCTTTATTGGTATTCTTGATGGGGAAGACAATGATTGACTAGGTTCGGGACTAGAACCTAAAATGGGTGAGAGTTCTTGAAATGCATGAAATCCACGTACCCTTTTTCTAGGACTAGGAGGTAGCCGTTTTGGAACATTTTTTGATTCCAAGTTAGTCAAACTTTGACTCAATTGTCTGTTGAATTTTCTAGGCGGTAGATGAGACACTTTCTCGCCAAATACTCCACTATTAGAATTTTTTCTTGTCCTAGTGGCACCGGTCTTTGATGATCTTGTTCCATTGGGATTAGGGCTCGTACTCCTTGGATCCTCAGGCGGTACAGGTGATCCAATGGGACTCGCGTGACGTGAGCCAGTTGGATTGAAACCATGTCCCTTGAACGGACTCACTCGTCCTGTCGGAGAGGAACTGCGAGAATTAGGATTGCTGGGTGAGACTTCACCGATGATAGCAAAGGATTGGTGCTTGTGGCGGTGAGTAGATGGAGTCAATCTAAAATTAATAAACTTAAGGTTACTAAACAATAGTTATAATCCAATTAAAAACTAAAAACTACTGAATTATTGTAGTTCTAAATAGTGTTACCTAAAATTTTCTATCTTTACATTACGTATTTTTATTGCAATTAATAATTGCTAATTATTAATTAACTATTAATAAAGATGTATTATTATTATGCACATTGATATTTTATCAGTGTGTGTATGCTATTAATTTTAAGAAACTATAAATAAACTATACAATCGCTTAGATAAATTTTATTAATAATAATTTACAAAGCGTAGCCGAAAGAAATAAATATATCATACGGTTTATAAAACATGAAGAAAGTCGCATTTAAATATGAAATCCAAATATAGGTGCCTAAAGCGTTTTGATATATTAGTGTTTTAAATCATAACAGGCATTTAATTTAATAAAGATTTCTGAAGAAATCTGGGTGCAAATTTTACCTCTTCTGTCCCTTGCTGATTGGAAAAAAGAAGAAAGGGTATTTATCTCCAAAAATATTATATGTAGATATACAGGGTGTCCCAGGCTGAGCGTGCATTAGAAGTTTCTAGAGAACCACAATATCTAGACCGGAGATTTTTTGCACATCATTCTTTCACAACGAGATCTATTGATTAAAAATATTTTCAATATGGCGGCACTTCCGGAAATACCGGAAGTTGACGACAACTTTCTTATTTTAAATGGGTGCCCCCCTTTTTTAATACATACTTAAATTCTCTGTAAAATTTTGTGAATTTTGATATCAAACACTCTATACCTAACATTAACCGTTTTTGGGAAAAAAATATTTAACATTTTTGGACGAAAAAAACTGCCTGTCAAAAATATTTGTATAGTCTAAAAAGTCAAATTTAGTGATTACAACAGCCACTGTGCCATAAAGAGAAGACATGTGGCTATCTCTTTCAAAAATTAAATTGTTTGAATATCATATAATAATGGCTGCAGCTGTCATGGAATTGAGCGATTAAAAAAGTATCATAAATCATTTTTTCAAATAGAAACCCACTTTTTTTATCTCGTTGTGAAACAATGATGTGCAAAAAATCTCCGATCTAGATATCGTGGTTCTCTAGAAACTTCTAATGCACGCTCCAACCTGGGACACCCTATATACCTCAAAAAGAAAGTAGGTATCATAATGGGTATTTTTCAAAAAAGACACACCTCTAAGACTTTTTTATTTTTTCACATAAAAAAACGAAATTTGGTATTTTTTACTTTATTTGATAGAAAATTGCATTCTGAATAGAATAAACTTAGAATAAAAATAGAATGAAACTCCGTTATTTCACCTCAAGTTAGTTTCGTAGTTAAGTGTTTATTAGTTTTTAAGAAAAAAAGTTACTAGATTTTAAGAAATTGTGACTTTTTGAAGCAAATATAGGTATATAGTAAATATGAAAACTTCATTGTATATTTTCTTTTAAAAGTTATGACATGTAAGCTTAGAGCCTTAAAAGGCCATTAAAATATCAAAACAAAATATTATACCCGTGTGATCTCTAAAAATCTTATCAGGGTATAATACTCCACGTCAAATAAAATAAATCTAGGTGGTGGAACAACCCAGACTATTTATTTGTTGAAAAGATTGGAATAGGTGATATAAAAAAATACGTTTAATTGTTTTACAGTACCTGTAGGGCACCGGAGCAGGAGGGGGATCTGGTAGTCTGGCTGCGTCTGTAGGTAACACCGTAAATGCTCCAGGGGCCAGATAATGCATATTCATGTCGACCTACAGAAATACACTATTAATAAATGAAAAAGATTGATATTAAATGGTTATGTTCGGCATGGTTGACACGGTCAAAGTGTACTTGGATCAAATACACTTGGACGCCTCTTGGGATTGTATCAACCGATTTTAAATCAGTTGATATGAGTCCAAGTGAGATGGGCGCAGTAGTATACTTGACCGTGTCAACCAGGCTTTAATGGCTCTTAGAAACTAACTATAAATTTAAGCTACATTATTATAAATTGGACACCCAATATTCTACTATTAGAAGTGTAGTGTTAATGTAATACCTACTATTAGAAGTGTAGTGTTATTATGCGTATTTTGTGTTTTTTACACACATTTTTTACATCTATCAGACACCATTTCTTTTTATTAGTTTTATTTAAAACTGGCTAGGTATTTTTACACAAATGAAGAAGGAAATTAAAGATAAAGAATTATACCATATCCGTATTGTAACACATTTTTAGACAACTTCTTCATTTGTAAGATTTTGATGGTCAAACATTAAGTCATATCTTGGCAACAGAAGGCAGCTTGTGAGGATTGATACGTCTATGTCTTCTTGTAAGCCTATAGAATGTGGTGTCCCTCAGGGTTCAGTACTTGACCCTATTTTGTTTCTGGTGTTTATCAACGATATTGAAAATCTAGACATTAGCGGTAAAATCTGCCTTTTTGCGGACGATACTAGTTTCACTTGGAGCGGCCCAGATGTTACAGCACTATATGATACTATATCCAGTGACTTACGCACCATTAAATCTTGGTGCGATTCTAATCTCGTATGCCTCAACCTATCAAAAACTAAAGTTTTGTCATATAAAAGTATGTGTGTAAGCTGCGTGAAAAGGTTTAACTGTGACGGTTACGCTGCCGCACAGTTTTAGCTGCAACTGTAGCAGGGGATGGCTATGGCACAGTGAGGACCGCGACGATAGTTCCCTTGTGCTACGTTCTCAGCCGGCTAGGAGCAGTTCACTACTCCTCTTAAAAGTACTATACAACCTTTTATATTTAATAATACCACTATTGACGTCGTGGACTCTATGAAATTCTTAGGACTTGTTGTAGACAACTCGTTAAAATGGGACTTTCACGTCGAAGCTCTATCAAAGAAACTAAGCGCTGCCTGTTTGCGCTAAGATCAGTTTCTAAGGAACTTAACTTCTCAACCTCTAGAATAGCCTATTATGCCCTTTTTGAGTCACATCTTCGTTATGCCCTTCCGTTCTGGGGTACTTGCTGCGCTACAAATCGTATTTTCAGACTTCAAAAGAGAGCAGTTCGATATTTATTGGGACTGAACAGTAGAACTCACTGCCAGACTTTCTTTAAAAATTTCAAAATACTGACTCTTCCTTCTTTATTCATTTTTGAATCCGTTTGCTTAATCCGCAAGCACATATCTGCTATTCCCGAAAGGCCATCTCATAACTATCCACTTCGGAATGCGGAGCATGATCTTTATCTGCCAACCCCGAGCTCAGAACTAGTTAAAAGTTCAATACTGTACAATGCCAAAAAAATGTACAATCATCTGCCTTTGAATATCAAGTCGCTTTCATTCTTTCCCGCATTTCACAAAGCACTAAAATCATACTTACTGGAGAGAGCCCTATATACGGTAAACGACTTTTTTGTTGATGTTTAATTATGAATAATTTTGAATTTTAAAATTTTGATCATTTCACACACTGGTCAAAGGTCAAGTATTTAATATTTTATAACTCTAAAATTATATCTATTAACTGCGTACTGTTCTGCAATTGTCCATGTATATTCTTTTTGTTATTTTAATGACTTAAATTTTTTTTAATTGTATTATTTGTATTGTGTATTTTTTGGTTTGTATTTTTTTTTGTGCTTTTGTTTGTTTTGTGAGTGCTTTGTCGATGAAGCCGTTTTGGCTTTTTGTACAATAAAGCGTTGTTTGTTTGTTGTTTATTCATCAACAAAATATTCCTTATGCTTGGACTAAATTTTCTCGAAAATAAAGACATAATTTAAAATTCCGTTACAATACGGAAATAGATTGAAGTTTTCTGATTACAATAATATATAATTTATATGGTTTTGTAACAAATTGCTCGATATTTTATGGCAAATGGTGAAGCTCTGCAGACCTTAATCAAGCTCAATGAAAGCTCGTGTATTTGGAATTTTGGGTGTGGCTTAACACGACAGAATCGTGCTAAACTTTAGGCAGATTTCTGAAATATAATATTATATGTTATCTGTGATAATATATATTTCCTTCGGCCACACACCCGCTTTACCTGACACCTCAGAGCGACCCGAACAGTACAGCCTAATAGACTCTTAAGGTATTTTCTTTAAAGAAAAAAAGTGAAATATTTATAGTTCGAAACCCGTTTATAAATGTGTTTCGATATCTAATACCGTATGATCGAATAAAAACGGCTGGGGGATCACAATCGATGGGAATTTTGGCAAGGTGAATCTCTAGACGTCATTTACTAAAAATTGGCATAAACTTGTCAAAAAATAACACGAATTATTATAGAAACATTAAAAAAGGTTATAACATTTCCAGACACACAATTCTATTCCAAAAAATATATTTTTTTCTCGAATTTTTTAATCTACACCATTTAAAAATCATTTTTGCTCGATATAAAAATAAATTAGAACCTTCTTAGAGAACTGAATTATCATCGATAGTTATTCCCCAGCTCTCACCGTCTTTGACGCCGTTTTTTTTCGATCTCAAGGTATAATTAAGATAAAAAAAATTATACCTCGAAGTTCTTGCCTGCTCTGGAAGGAGCTCGATGCTCTGGAGTCCTCATTACGAATATCAACTATTCTATTCAGCTGCTTAGTATCAAATGTTGAAGCTGCATTACTGATAACGGGTGCCATTCGTTTCTCAAACTCGAACGCGTAATTTTCTAACTCATTTCTGTAATAAAAAAACAGAAAGCCTTTAATGATGCGATCGTCCAAAAATAGTTCGAAACATATTTATAAAAACAGGAAACAGATATCTTTCCCTGCTACGGTTAAAAATATACTAAAATTAGATATGAAGAACTACATTTTGAGAGGATGTTTCCAGTCATTTCCTTCCATTTTTGAAAAAAAAAAAGAATATAATGCTGTCTACAAAAAAAATTAATTGCAGCTGTCTATCAAGAACTTTAAGAGTGGAGTCTCATGTATCAGACTTCCGACGCCACGATGATAAGGCAGCTATATTCTATTAATTAAAATATTTTGGCTGGAATTATCATCCAAATATTTTAGATTTTTCTCAACGTCGCGTCTTATGAAGTTCAATTTTTTTTATTTCTTACTGAATTAATATAAGACTTATATCATCTTGGTTACACTAACCATAGAGTCATACATTCATTGGGACATTATTAACCCGAATTAAGGTTGATTCTCACTATACCTTCCGTTTCCATTCCATATCCCTTCCACATCCGTTCCGTATTTTTTATTGTATTGACGCCATACGTAAGCTTCCGTTCCGTATCGGTTCCATACTTTTTATTGTACCATTAATAATATCATTACGAAAGTTTTATTTTAAAAATTTGTATCTTTGGAAAAAGGTAATAGATTTAACTAAGAGTATTTTATGTAAACGGAAGGGAGGTGATACGGAAGGTATAGTGAGAATCAATTTTTAAGATGCCATTATTCCCTCTACCTTTTATAGGTAATAAACATGAAATACAATAGAGATTTTGAGTAAAATGTTTAAATATTTTTTATTCAAAACGTTTTTTAATTCATTCGGCCTAGCATTCTACTTTTATTTCAACTAAACTTTTCGAAAAAATAAGCTCATTTTAAATAAACAAAAGTAGTCAGTATTATACGTTTTATTTTTTTTCAATAATTTGTGGCAACACAATATTTTATTTTGCATAATGTCTTTATATTCAGGCAGAAATCTACGCTATCGAAAGATGCGTACAACTTATCTTAGATAGGAACTATCGGAAAAAAGAAATACCCATCTTATCCGATATTCAAGCAGCCTTAAAAGCGATCAACTCAGTAACCATCAATTCAAAGTTGGTCAAAGAATGACTAGAGAAGCTGAACAAATTAGGCAAAGAAAATAAAGTCATCCTACTCCGGGTGCCAGCCAAGGAAAAGATAGAAGCTAATGAGAAGCAGACGATCTAGGTAGAAAAGGAGCAAACACTCAAATAACTGGCCAGAACCGTTCTGCTTCCCAAATGAAAACCAACTTAAAGCGGAACTCAAGAACCTGGATAAAGAAACCAAGAAAAAAACCTGACTCATCTCCATCAAAGGGCAAAAGAGGGAGCGAGAACCTCTCACCTCTTCTCCGGCAGGGAAAGAAAAAAGCCAGGATGGAAAGCCGTCCAACACAGGGAGGCAAGTAGGGACGTATCACCAGCTTGGCCGCTATTGCTGGACAAGTGAAAATGGCGGTGCTGCCAAAGGATTTCCCAGAGGTTGCTCTGACCACCGAACAGATAGCTAGCTCTAGAAGAGACTATACTGGACGAAGTAGTGGCGATCGGATCGCAACACAACGATCTACAAAATGTGGGTCAGCTGCGTTTTGCGAGGATACACTTTCAGGTGGGCACGATCCTCATAGATTGTGTATCTGAAGAATCGGCGAATTGGTTGGTGGAAATCGCACACCTAAGCTTAAAAATTGGCAAGGGCCGGAACTGGTTGCAATGAAGGGAGAAAACATCCCTAAAGGGGCGGCCATAACGGTCTTTCTGCCGAGGAGCAAGGGGAAAGACACCACCTACCTGCTGAGCCTTATCCAAGTTCAGAACTTCAATGTAAGGACATCGAGTTGGCGAGTCATCACAATAGGAATTGACCTCAAATCCAAGGCGGCAATAGAGAAAGAGGGAAATATCCTCTATTATAGATACGGGACGACACCGGTATCAGGTCTAAGGAGAGACCAAGTTAAAGAGGTGGAGAAAATGGGAACAGATCCTCCAGCCTCCACCTCCCGGGTTCCTCAGCCGGAGGCAAGCTCGTCGACTGTGAAGAGCGGCACAGAGGGCCAAACTCCAACCGTGGAAGGGTGTGTACCCTCGGAGAAAGAACTGTTGTCAGAGGAGGATGGGAAATATCCTGTCCCCTCTACAACAGGGGTATGATGGGTTATAGATTGTGTGATGACTCTTACTCATTCTACATTCTACAAGAACCTTGGAGTCTCCATCCGTAACCTGGTATGGGAATCCTCCAACGGTCTAAAACACTCAAAGAAGTTTATAAGGACCTACAAATACTCAAAGATTTTCCTTCAATTATGTAAGAACAATCTTCCGATCGCCACGGGTTTATTTTTTAAACAGGACACTGTTTCCTAAATGAACACCTCAGTAGATTGAAGCTAAGAAACAACGGCGAATACAGATTCTGTGAGGAAAATGGGAAAATAACGGAACACCTCATCACTGAGTTTGCCGAGACGACAACCATTCGTGCCATAAATTTTAGTACGATTGAAACCGTGTATTCTGCAAAAACCGTCTCAGATACTGGCTTTTGTCAAAACCCTGAGATTGTATGATAAGTTATAACTCAAGAATAGGGAAACTTCTCCCCTCTCACAATCTACATCTCTACAAAGTCCTTATAATTTGAAGTTATGCTATTGGATATTTACATCAAATATTAATTTATTATTTAAATTTTACAGGATTGTTATTCAACTTATATTCATAATGCCATACAGTTATACAAAATAGTAGAAAAGCATCAACTATCATAACGGTATTATAAAGTCATAAGAAAGTGTTCTTAATTGGTATGCCATCAGTAATCGTACCTCTCGTTATGTAGATGTAATAATACCACTAAAACTAAAAAAGAAAATGAAATTCTCGCCTGGTTCTGCTTCTTTAACTTTTTTAACATTTAGTGATAAAAAAGGCAATTATACCAATTTTCTTCTACCGTTAAATTGCAAATGCATAAAAGAAAGTGTATCATCATTCGTTTGCAGGAAAAACATAATTTGGTAAATTGATGCTATCACGTTATATTCAGGTAAGTTTTCTAGTACAAACAGTAGCAAAATAACAACAAATAAATGCAGAGTTTCACCTAATTACTTATTTTCTTTTCAAATGAAAGTGCCAATTGTGTATGCATGTATTTATTAAAATTATATACGATTTTTTTGAATATAAGCAATTAAAAATTTAACAAGTGGCACAAACAGAGTATTTAATTGTTTAGCATTTATATCTATTATTTGAAGGTTTTCACTGAATACAGGGTGTTTCAAAAAATATGTCTCATCTCTCGTGGAGTGATTCCTCACGTCAAAATAAAATCTAAAATCTTCTTTTCTTCGAAATGCTTTTAGCGGTTCGAGTACAATTTTGGGAGTCGAAATTACTATAATGCTAAAAAAGTGTCGACAAATTCGACAGAGTCCCTGGTGAATCCTTCGACACTTTTTTAGTACTAAAATATGTAATATTTATAGTAACTTTTACCCTCAAAATTTCATTCGAATCGCTAAAAGCACTTGGAAGAAAATTATAATAAATCGAAAAAGAATGAAGATTTTAACTCCCTGTTGCTACGAAACAAAGCAGAATCGGACCTATGTTGATATAAAAATAATTTTTATCTTTACGTGAGGAACCTTCCCACGAGAGATGGCACAGTTTTTTTGAAACACTGTGTATAGTAATGAAGTAATTTAGAAAGAATTATTAAAAGAACTAATAAAATTCCCGGGCGATATTGTTATTTAGCTTTATTTGATAGCAACCACTAATAAGAACTAGACTGAAACTATAAGAAAATTAAATATTTGTTTATTCGTTACAAAATATGCCGTTAAATATAACTAAATATTTGATTGTTTTAATTATTATCTTAAATACTAATTAGTTCGGTTAAAGGTTTGTATATTTAAAGTAGTTCATAGAACATCAGATAATTATTGATAATTTAAAACAATATTTAAAACTAGTAAAATACATATTTTCAAAATTATTATTATCGATGTTGGTGAATAACCTTAACAAAACGGCCATAAAATAATTAATGTAAGATTGAAACTGAAATCAAATACGCCGGGTGTTTTTCAAAAGTGGCTCACTCCTATAAATTTTTTACCTTTTCAAACAAAAAATCAAGAGTTGGTATGTTACTGCACGCCATAAATCAGGATTGATTGACGTATGCAATTATTTTTGGTCACTTCCTGTTTCACCGGAAATCACTACAATTTTTGATTTTTAAACCCTCGATATTTTCGATAATTCTATAGAAAATGACATTCTGAAGAGAATTACATCTTGTATGTCAATTTTTACATATTTGCTTAAAGGGAATAGTATTTTAAATTTAATAGTTTTTTGTTTTGTTATTACATTTAGTTATTACAGGTTTTTTTTTAATATCCTTAGTTCTATTATTGTTACTAATATTTATTAAAACCAAACCTGTATCGTGTTACTTTTTAACGTTTTTTAAATTTTAATAATAATCGCAACCAATCAGTGTCGATATGACACTACGACAATAGTCACCCAAAGCCACTTCGTGATATTAAAAAATAACCTCATAAAGTAATGATAGTATAGAAAAAATTTCTAATTGTTGATGGCAAGTTCATTTCGCTCTTACAAATTAACCAAGATATGTGTTGATATGAGCCAAAAAAAATGCTTAGGACACAATACATGGTTCTGATTAAAAAATAATGTTTTAGGAAAAGTTACTCAAGAAATTATTGCACAGGGTGTTTTAAAGTTAGAGATAAAACACAACCCTTCAATTAACCCTGTATAATAAGCCAAATAACCTGAGTTTATGAATTAAAGTTGATATATTTATATAGTGTTTGCTGAAAAAATTATGAAAATAGGTCTAAAAGTGAAAAAAACATAACACTTTAAATTTGACGAAAAAATTCTCCGTTGAATTTTTTTGCATCTGAGTGAATATGATTTTTTTTCTCGATCAGTGAGTGATATAAAATATAGAAAGAAATTAAATAAAATTAATAATAATTAGGTATATAAAATAAACAACTATTTTATCATTTACCGTAAATATCTTCAAAAAGTGTAGAGTGTAATTGAGTTTAATAAATTATTGTGAATTTTTACCAAAGTCCTGTAATAAAAAAAAATAATATAGTGACTTTGACTCTATCAATCCCTATGAGTTATAAGCCCAGAACCCTTGTGCGGCGTTGCAAGAGCAGTCACGAGAATGGCCACAAAACGATGTGTGGCCATCAAATCTCTAGGACAGTGGATAAATTCACCAGGGTAGAAACAGGTGAAAATGATTAGAACATAAATAACTATATAATTTATTAATTTTATTGTAGAACATTCGCCAAAATTCACGGCAGACTTGATAACCATGCAAAGACAGAAAGACAAAGTTGTTCTTAGTGGATAATGTGTACCACCTGAAGAAGAAACAACAGAATACATTTTGTGTCGGTGCTACAGCCTGATAAATGTGCGGTTCTCTGTAATAGGCAATGACAGGCTATTTATATGAAGAGTCCAGTCTCTATGAAGAGTCCAGTCTCCAAGTTGTTAGACTATCTGTATTAGCGTAACTAGCAATTTATCCTGGGGCAGGCCTGGTGGGGCCTAGGTTTGAGCCCAGGGGGGGTCTAGGGCTTTTGTTTTTTTAAAAATGAAAAATAATTTTAAAAAACACATTTTTTGAATAAAACGTTTACATGAATTTCTCTATCAATAAATTTCATAGACTTGGTTATCAAACCGTGTTCCCGTAGATTACTTAAATACCTACAAATTTTTTAAAAAAATAAAAATTAATACATTTTTTGAATACAACAAAATAATATTAACTAAACAAAACTAAAAAACGTCATTTTTACTGCATCACAAGCAAATAAAAATTAAAACGTAGCCAAGAGTCATAATTCAGGATTTCCCTGGAGGGTGCCCAGCAGTACCAGGGGGGGGGGCGGTAACCCCTGGCACCCCTGCAGTTACGCCAATGACTATCTGAAAAGGATAAGACTGGAGAATGTAACCTACGGATCAGAAGAGGACCACAATAGATTTGAAAAGGTCGCAGTGGATCAAGCTGATAGCCACCTCGAATAATCTTATCTAAGCCATGTGTAAAAGAAAAAAATGCAGCGACTAAATTACAAGAAAAAATATTTCCTAACACAACATTTCTAAAGATATTCCATCTTATATTCGCGCATTTTATTTCTCTTTATAGTTCACACTATTAATCATTTTATACTAAGGCGATTCAAACAGCTAAAAGATCGTTAAGGAAATTTTAGAGCGCTGTGTTGTATTAATTAAGCGACAAATTAATTCTGACATATTTCTGGAAAAAGTTAGCAAGACAACAGAATCGTTTTTTACTGCAAGTTGCAAAAGTATGAAACTTGTTCTACTTCTTGATATGTCTTCATTTAATAAAAACTCACAGTTTTCCTCAAATACCGAATAAATAATTTACATTTTGGCTAAGTGAGGTAAAAAGTTTGTCATGATTTTATGTTATAGTTGTTTTGGTAAAAGTCCAAATTTTTCGAATTACCGGCAGGTACAGTTTCTGAACATTTTTAGGTCTATCAAAAAAACAGAAACCGATAAATTTAGTACTGATTTATTACAGCGTTTTCAGATGGAGCGTCCGCGACGGACCGTCCGCGACTTCGAGCAAGTACCATGAGTTTATATGAACGATTTCACATGGGTGGCGTATGCTCCGTCCGGATGAGCTATATTGAAAAAACATCCGCGCGGACGCTCCGCGCGTACGCTCCATCTGAAAGCGCTGTTAATATGGGCATGTTCCTCTAAATTTGAAATTATCTATCTCCTATGCAAATATTTTTTTATTTCAGTTTAATATCTCGCTATTTTTTATTTATGCGTTCTTCTGGAATTAATCTTTAAAAATCATAATAATAATTGTTTTATGTAAAAATGTAGCTTGCTTAAAACCTACAGACACAAAACTCTCACTGGTTCTTTAATTAAATCCGCGCTTTGTAGAATATAAGGTTTGCGGAACCGGAGTTGTCTTTCGGAACCGGGAATTTCGGTACCGCGCCTCTTAGGAACCGGGATTTCCCGTTTTTTTCGGAACTTTCGGTACTGACAATCAGAAAGCAAGGAATGGTTTTTAAAAGTAAAATTGATAAAAAAATTGGAATTTTTAATGAAAATAATATCAAATTATTAAGTAATCAGTCATTAAACTGAAATCATTATTAAAAATTAACATGAACACAAGTAAAGAAAAAATTATATAGGTAACTTCAATTTCACATCAAATGAGACAAAAGCCCTAAAATATTGAGTTAAAAATGCAAATATCTATTAAAATAAAACATAATAAATATTATAGAAACTTCAAAAGAGAAAAGAAGAAAGAACAATAAGAAACAGCATGATTACTTATTTAGAAAAGTTTGATTTCGACCTCCATGAAGTATCACGACCTCTATGACTTTCTCACGTAACAAAAAAATAATTTTTAATTATTGTTACCGAGGTCCGGTTCTGTGATCTAGGTAGTATTAATTAGTCTCCGGAACCGTACTAAAATATTTTCGTTCAACGATTGTGCAGTTCGTCAATTAGCAAGCAAGGGATGGTTCTCAAAAGTAAAACCGAAAAAAATTGAGTTTCAAATGAAAATAATATCAAATTAAGTCACGAGAAAGCAATCATGAACACAAATAATGAACACAAGCGAAAAAAAAACACATAGGTAGCTTAAAAATGACATCAAACAACATCAACCTCGAAACAAACTTAACTAAATTTGAAAAAAATACCTAACATTTTCAATTAAATATGCCAATGCCTATAAAAACATAACACAAAAAAATATAACTAATAGATACATTTCGCAATATAGTACTAAATAATAAAATAACATATTTAAACTTCAATAATTGCTAATAAACATTATCGAAACTTCAAAATAACTTCAGAAGTATAGCATCACTATTTATTTCGAAGAGTTTGATTTCGAACGCTAGAAAGTATAAAAAGTCTTTCGCACGTAATAAAAAATATGTTTTTAATTACTACCGAGTCCCGAAAGTACCGAAAGAACCGGGAATTCCCAGTACTTTCAGTACCGGGGTTTCCCGGTTCTGAACCCTACTGTGTACGTCTGCGTAAACACGAAAAGCCTGTAATAAGCTACAATAATTAATATTATACTATCGATTAAAGATCTATGACCACCCCAATTATAAATCTGGTTAAATGCCCCCAAAACGAGAATAAAAATGACGCATTTCATTCAAGACGAAAATATTTATTTGCCGCAACTCCTTATTGCATGAATAATGTATTAAGATTAATGCCTTATCTCAGATCTTTACATTCAAATTAGAACACTATGACAAAACGTGTTGCTAGAAAAATAAAATTGAAATAACGACTTCTACTCTAGTCCAACTACCATCCATTACGTTTAAACAATCTGTGACTTCAACTTTATAAAACAGACATATACGGGGTGTTTCAAAAAACATGCGCCATCTTTCGTGGGGAGATTCATCACGTAAAAATCAGATTCTCACGACTTAAGCAAGGCTTAAGTCAGATTTTCCAGAGGGCTTCCAAGCACTTGGAAGACAATTATAATAAATCGAAAAATAAGGACTTTTAAAACTCCTGTAGATACGAAACAAGCAGACCAATGTTGGTATAGAAAATAAATCTTATTTTTATGTGAGAAATCTCCCCACGAGAATTACATTACACTAATAATATTCAATCTAACCAATAGTAGTATCACGTAGTATCTAAAAAAAACATTTGAGGTTTTGATTACTAAGATGCATTTCGTTAGAAATATATATTTTTTTTAATATTAAGAATTATTACGGTTGGGGATTGGAACCTTTGGTGTTACAACAGCAAAGTGTAACACTAATTCACCATAATACACCAAGACACTTTACTTGTGCACTGGACTCGCGTTTCGCTAAACATGTTAGCATCATCAGCAGATGATTAAAACTTAGTTTTAATTATCTGCCTTTTTTAAAAAAATTGGAAATTTGGAAAAATATAAACGGGATTAACCATTTTGGAACAATCAAATTTTTTTATGAAGAATGCATTTCTAACAAAATCTCGACAATAAAAAGTTTTTCTTCTTGCGTTCAATTATTTTGCATTTTAAATTTTAAATATTCTTTATTGTTATTTTTTTTATTATTATAATTTTTAATAGCAAAATAAAACATTAATTCACCACAATGCACCAAAACAATCTACCTTTGCACTGGACGCGCGTTTCGTTAACCATCATCAGATGATTAAAACTAAGTTTTGATTTTTAGGACTTCTTGAGAAAAAAATATATTTTCATGTTTTTTTTTAATTTTCTTAAAAACGGTAATGAAATTTAGAAAAGTATAAACGGAATTAACCATTTTAGAACAAGCAAAAATGTGTATGAAGAATAGATTTTTCTGAAAATGTCAATAATAAAAAAAAATCCTCCTGCAAAGACAATCCGGGGAAATACTGTATATTTAAAAATGTGGCTATAACTTACCTTGGTTTCTTATATCCACATCCCTACTTCAGGCTTTCAAGGCGACACAATAGAAAAAAAAACAATAAATATTATCACTTAATTTCTAACAGAAGATCAGATATGAAAGAACGAATAAACCATTCAATAATTTGAGGACTTGACACGTTAAAGGAGCCCATTTAACTGAACGCAATCATAGACCGGTTGCAACCAAGTAAGAAAAGAAAAAAAATGCCGCCTCCCTCAACGTACGTGTCGAAAAAAATAAACGAAGTGTTGAATCAACGTTGTTCGCTCACATTGCGCCATACTACACTGTAGCAACAAAGCACTAGAATTCGTGCCCATTTGAAAGTTAATAAGTGGCGATTTTAGCGCCACCGGCCATGCGTGGAAGAAGAACGAAACAAGTGGAAAGCCCCCGAGTTTCCTTCGAATTTATTTAAAGAAGTTGGAGGCGAACGGTGGCCATATAATGGGAGATCGGTGCGATATACCATGCTGGCAGAAAGTCGATAACGAAGCTACGAATCCAATTGAAAAAAAAATTAAAATAAAGGATAATCTTCCTTATTTTGAAACAGATATTTATTTTGCTAATTGTAATAATTGTAATCTTGTAACAAAATATTTTATATATTGACATGTCTGGTAAATCGGACAAGGGTGCGAGTCGGACTCGTCCACCGAGGGTTCCGTACAAAATTGTAGGGAGAGGAAGTGAAGGTATTTTGGAATAGTAGTTACAAAAAAAATTGCAAAAAATTTAAATGTTGATTTTGAATAATATAAATAGCATACCTTAGATCTACATATCTAGTATGCCATACGAAAGTTTCAAAGTAATTTAAAAAGACTGAACGAGTCGTTCATTCGAACGAGTATTAAAAATGAATCGTGAGATTCGATTTATTGTTTGCAATACGGTTCGTTCAATTGAATTGTGGCCAGCACGGATCCATAACATTTGAACGAGGAGCCGTAAAAAGAATCGAATTGAATCTGATATGCGATTGTAGGTTCAAAGAGTCGTGAGAATTGATTCATTGCTTATAATACGGTTCGTTCAATTGAATCGTGGCCAGCACGGATCTATAAGATTTGGACGATTTGAGCCGTAAAAAAGGAATCCAGTTACTCCAGTATCATAAAGTGTTGAAAAACAAATGAAAGAACTGTATATTTCTTTTTCTGGTACTTTAAGTAATTGTCCGACCAAATTATCGTCGGTAGTGCCAGTTACGATTCTTGTTTTTATGAAACGTAAATTAATTGTGCATGTGATTCGTTGAAAAAGACAAATGAACGAATCGTAGGAGTCGATTCAATATGAGAAATTAAATCGTGTGATTCGATTCACTAAAAAGAATCGTAATGCCCATCACTAATCGACATAATATGCAGGTAATTTGGAATAGCACCTAAATATCAGCAGATATGTTGTTTATATTAAAAAGGTACATAAAACATTGTCAAAAAAGTATCCAAATATTTATTAAAAGAGAAAATTAGGTAGAATATTTACAGTAGTCACACACATATACGTTCCGGCGTCATTCCCCACACAGAGTGCACTCATGATTTGCACGTGAGGCACTGATCCCACCCTTGTACCTTTCCTTCGCTTAAAAAAACATAATAGCTTACTTTGGGTTTTTCTTATTACCGATTCTGAACCGTCCTATAACAGTAATACGAAAGCGCAGAAGGAAATATGAAAAGAGTAAGTATTTCATGTGCTGCAGAGTTTTAGGACGGTTCAGAATCGGAAATAACAAGAACTCGAACAAAACTACAGTCTCTTCTTGCTATCTATTTACATCAAATTCTGGAGCGAGTTCTGAGGAGGTCGAAATAATTCCGCTTGCATTAGATTCACTATTTGTTCATGTTTTCTGATATTTGCTCCTGTTACCTATATCTCCTACAATCAAGACCAGATTAAGACAAATCTATCGACACCACACACCTTATATGGTAAAATCTATCAAGCAGGTTGAGCTACAGTGCGTGCCAAAGAAATTTATATGTCGTAGTCTCATAGTGTATTCAAAACCCCCAGACACCAATTTTCATCCAAATATTGACGTTACTTCATAAATTATTTGGAAAAAATCGAAATAAAAATCAAACTTCTACACCCTGTATCTCCAAAACTAAGCGTTTTAGGACATACATTTATACCAAGTTTTTTAATCTGCAGAATATGCTGCCGAAGTTTCCGGAATACAGTTCGGACCACCCTGTATATATGGATTTCAATTGTTAGCGCTAAAGTCTAAATAGACAAAACTGAATTTGTAGAAAATTTTGTGTACTTTTATAGTGAATATTATTTTAATTTCCGAAAAGTTTCACTTTTACACACACGCACATAAGCACAAAAATACATTTTTTATGAAATTTTTCAAGTTTCCTCTCGAAATTTTGTTCGTAAATATCAAAATCCGAATCAGCACACTATAAAACACTAGAGTTGTGTAATTTCAAACTACCCCAAAAGCTTCCCAACAAAAATACGATTTGCCTAGACTACTAAAAACGGGTATAAAAATGTAAAACTTCTGATAAATTCAATGTGTTAATTGAACAGTAAATTAAAAATTGTTGTTAACTTTTATGACGGATTATTTATTCCTGTTGTGGGATTCTAATATGCAATATATCTATAAGTTACAACTGTAAAAGTTTTAGTATTTCAAATATCCTGATGATGCACACAATTATAATTTTTCAGTGGGATAAATTTTTCAGCAATACACAGAGAAACGATGTGTAGGACAATAATAATAGTTTCTGAAATTCGAATATCAACGAGATTATTCATTCAATGTGGTCGTTATATTGCAATATCCTTGTAAATAATAAATATTAAAAACTATGAAGAAACCAAAGGCATTAATTTAAATCACTGCCAATTACTTCAATATGCAATAACACAAAAGAATTGACTAACTACTGAAGATAAGAAACTAATGAGGTGAAATAAGTGTAGAGAAAAATAGCACAAAACATGTAAGTAAATAAATATATTCCTCTAACACACATAAAAAACATAATAAACAACAAATATAATATGTGTGTGTAGAAATTTAAAAAACAAATATAATATGTAAATGACATTAAAAATTATACCATACGATCTAAAAAACTGGCGTCAAAGAAGGCTGGGGAATGACAATCGAAGATAATTTTGGCGAGGTCAAGCCCAAGATATCTTTTACTTGGCCCATACTCTTCTTATTTTTTTGAGATGAGTATTGAACAAGGCGTTTACTCTCAGTTAGCCTTAAGGAGGTTGTAATTTATTTTTATATTGAACAAAAGTTATTTTTAAATGGTGTAATCTGATATTCGATAAAAACTAATTTTTAAAAATAGATTTGTGTGTCTGAAAACAGGGGGGTGGTGCTTTATCCATGTTAATCTTTTTATAATTAGTTTTAATTTTTGACCAGATTGAAGTCAATTTTTGGTAAAACGTCTAGAGATTGATCACGCCCAAAATTATCATCGATTGTCATTCCCCCGCCATCTTTGACGCCGTTTTTTTTCGGTCGTATAGTACTTAACCACATACTCAATTTTTTTCCTTCTGAGAATACAAAAATAATTAAATTGATTTTTTAATAGTTAGGTAGTTGTAAAAATAATTCAAGTTAATTAGATTTTATGTTTCACATTAGAGGCCAATTTATATTATTTTATGCCTAATTGTGTAAATAGGCCTTTCTTTACTTAGAAACAATTCTATTTTCAGTTCTTGTTCAGTTTTATGTAGTTAATTAAACAGAAGAATATAATGTCGGTACGATATTTGCTTGTAGGTACTTCTGCATGAATCAAGTTAGCTCAGTAGCAGCATAACAATATTCTAATTAGATTTAATGATAAAAAAATAAATCAGATGTTCGGTTTGTAACAACCTGCTTAAAAAATATCGTCTATATATACAGGGTGTTTCAAAACAAATGCGAAAAACTTCAGGGGGTGATTCCTTGTTCAAAATAAAGGGTAGTTTGCTTTATAAACGTTGGGTCAAAAGTCAACCATTAGGGAGATATCGCAGTACAAAGATGGCGGAAAAATAATGTTTTTATTTTTTATCTTGAAAACGAAATGCGACAGACTAAAATGAAATTTTATGGAAGCATTACTGTTGTAAAAACACACTTTCTGGTAATTTTCTCACTTTTTTAAAATGAGTGGAAGGGGTTGAGATATACTACCCCTATCATTCTTGTTAACGAAATTTAAAGAAAAATCTTAGCAAACACATGCAAAAAAACTAATTTGGATAGTTTAGTTTATTTAGAAACTTTTTTATCTCTTGGGTTTTTTTGATAAAGCTCACCGATTTGAAATTAAAAAATAAAATGTCATTTACATGTCAGGACAAAAAATATTTTTATTTTTTAATTTCAAATCGGTGAGTTTTATCAAAAAAACACAAGAGATAAAAAAGTGTATAAATATATAAATAAAATGTCAATTACATATCAGGACAAAAAAATATTTTTATTTTTTAATTTCAAATCGGTGAGTTTTATCAAAAAAACACAAGAGATAAAAAAGTTTCTAAACAAACTAAACTATCTAAATTAATTTTTTTGCATGTGCTTGATAATATTTTTCTTTAAATTTCGTTAACAAGAATGATAGGAGTAGTATATTTCAACCCCTTCCACTCATTTTAAAAAAGTGAGAAAATTACCAGAAAGTGTGTTTTCATAACAGTAATGCTTCCATAAAATTTCATTAGTCTGTCGCTTTTCGTTTTCAAGATAAAAAATAAAAACCTTATTTTTCCGCCATCTTTGTACCGCGATATCTCCCTAATGGTTGACTTTTAACTCAACGTTTATGAACCAAACTACCCTTTATTTTGAACAAGGAATCACCCCCTGAAGTTTTTCGCATTTGTTTTGAAACACCCTGTATATCGGAGATAAAGCAAAAAAATTAGCAAAAAATGGAAAAAAAAATTATGGACCTTTCGAATACAAAGAAATATATAATCAATTTAGAATAAAGTTTAGATTGGAACCTTTAGTGATTTAGTAGCAAAGTATAAAATACCAATTCATCCCAATACAAGTCCATGAGATAAAGCCAAAAAAATTAGCAAAAAATGGAAAAAATTATGGACCTTAAAGAAACATATAATCAATTTAGAATAAAGTTTAGATTGGAATCTTTAGTGATTTAGTAGCAAAGCATAAAATACTAGTTCATCCCAATACAAGTCCATAAAATCCAGAATCATAATCAGTATAACAAAAAAAGTTATTTTGACAAA